TCCACAGATGCATCACAAGCAGGTCCAAGGAGGTGATCCTCGGTCTCTATGCAACATTGGTCAGGTCACAATTGGAGTACTGCATCCAGTTCTGGGCTCCGCACTTCAGGAGCGATGTGGACAGCATTGAGAGGGTCTAAAGGAGGGCCACTTGCATGGTCAAGGGACAGCAGGGCAGGCCCTACAAGGGGAGGCTACGGGACCTGAACCTGTTCAGCCTCCACAAGAGAAGGCTGAGAGCAGATCTGGTGGATGTCTATAAACTTACCAGGGGGGCCAGTGGGGAACACAAAAGTCCCTGTTCCCCTGAGCACTACCAAAAGTAACTAGGAATAATGGCCACAAGTTGACTGAGAGTAGGTTCAGGCTAGACATCAGGAAGCGCTACTTCACAGTCAGGGCGACTAGGATCTGGAACCAACTTCCTAGGGAAGTGGTGCTCGCTTCTACCCTGGCGGTCTTCAAAAGGAGGCTAGATAATCACCTACCGGGGGTCATTTGATCCCAAAATTCTTTCAGGGGGTCAGACTTGATGATCTGCTCAGTTCCCTTCCAACCCTACCAACTATGAAACTATGAAAGGTAGTGGGACAGTCAAACTGGTGCATACAACAGAGTCGAAAAAAGGTTTTTCTAATGGAAGGTAAATTGCAGAGTAAATTTGTTGTGTCACATGATCGAATCCCAAATATAGTTATTACAACTAGTTGTTGCTGTTGGGTGTAAGGTGACCCTCAAAGTGACCATGCAGAGGACAGAGGGCCTGACTATCCTGTTTTGTTATCTGTACATTTTATAATGGTAAGTAGTTGGGCTGCAACTTGATGAAACTGCAAATTTGTCACTTTATATTATATAAACACATAACAGGTACACAAAATACTTTACTCCCAATTAGAGCAAATTACTGCACAGTAAGCATCACCATCTACATATACAGATGCTTATTGTGCAGTAATTTGCTCTAATTGAGAGTAAATTTGCTACCTGTAAATACAAGTAGCAAATTTAATTGCAATTGCTTATCGCACTGTATGAGATGGGTAGATGGCCAACCAGGAGTAAATGTGCTCCCTGTCAGCCAGGCAGCAGGGGGCAGGAGATCACTCCCTGCCCCCAGAAGCTGCCTGCTACTGGGGTGGGCTCCACCACCAAAAACCAGGCAGGGACAATGTTCCCCTGCCCGAGCAGCAGCAATCATGATTGTGGAGCAGAGTCTGGGAGATTCTTATGTTATTGCCCAGCTCCAGTATAATGGAGCAGGGACTGGGAGATTCTTATCACACAGAGGAGCAGGGGCTGGGAGCTCCCTGCTGCTCAGGCAGGGGGACATTTTCATTGCCTGAGCTAGAGTGGTGGAGCCCACCCCGGCAGCAAGCAGCTCCTGAGGGCAGAAAACAGTCTTCCAGCCCAAAAGACAGCTGTCTCCTGGCCCTGTGCTCTATTCCAGCTCCTGGGCTAGCACCTAGGGGGAGTCTAGGACTCCCCCTGGATGCTGCAGGGGGCCACTGCAGGGCCTGCAGTGGCAGGAGGAGACTGCTGCCATGAGCAGCAAATCTGCTCCCACTTCCCAGCATATGTAGATGCCTGCCTGGGGTGGGTTTACTCTAGAATAAATTACTTTAGACATTAATGACACATGCCCCAGCGGCTGGGGAGGCACGACAGTGGCAGGAGCACATCAGCAGTAAGCAGAGGAGCTCCTGCAGACGCTGCCAGCACTGTTGGCAGCAGGCGAGAACGGGGTGGTGAGCTCCGACCAAGGGTTGGCGACCACCTGCCACTGCCACCAGTGGGGGAATCACAGGCCACCCACAGATGCCATCAGCGCTGTTGGCAGTGGGATGGCGAGCAGTGACCACCTACGTGCACTGCCAACAGTGCTTTTTGCAGGGAGTGCACCGCCACACTCAGGGGGTGCACGTGCACCCCCTACGCATTGCCCCTGCCTTTAGAGTAAACCCACTCCAGAGCATTTGCACGTGGACACACTGTATGTAAAACATAGAAGGAAAACTACAGGAGACCTTTTTAATTAGCCTCCTATTATAAACCCATACTTCAATTCCCAAGTAAAAACTTAGGAGACTAATTTTAGGTACTCATTTTTTTAAATCTTGCCCACAGTTCTCTCAGGACACCATTATGGACATTCAGCCACTACTATATCTTCAACCAGCTGTTCATATCCATCAGAGCAATTTTATAGTTTCTTGTTTGACCTAATTGTAGCCCTGGTTTTATAACACTAAACGCTATTCCTACAAACTTCACCCTCCATCCCCTCGAGTCCCAGCAGCTTGTGGGGAGATGTGGTAGCAAAATAAACAGGAGTAAGATGACAAAGGAAAATAAATGAACTAGGGTTTTAGCAAGAATCTCAGAAGAGGACGGTTTATTAGGAGAGAGAAAAGGTAGGAGGTGAAGGGTAGCAACATTAAGTGAGAGCAGAATTTGTGCCTCTGGTGCTCTTATGTTTTAAATGAGGACAGCCAAAAGGTGCAAAGAACACAGGTGGGAGGCAATGAAATCATTGAATGTTTGCTCAGAAGGTATCCATATTTGGGAAAAAAAATAGTAAGAAATCACGAAGTTTCTGTCACAATGTGCAATCAAATGGGACAAACCCTACACCTGTTCCAGGTGGCATGACAGCATTAAATACTGTCTTAAAGTTACTTTCCTTTCCAAGGTAACGTTTCTTACCAGCTGTCTAGAGGCTTCTCGAACAGACTAACTTGTGCTTTGTGCGTTTAATAACACAGTGATCCAGGGTATAAATATGGAAGGCTCCCCTTGATTCTCTGTAAAGATCAGCAATTGCCTTTGAATTTGAGAGGGGAGAAGAGGTGGGTAGGACGGTGTAAAAAGCAATACTCATTAGCTTCTGAGCCTCTCCCCCAACCTTTTGTTTGATTTCTCTTTTATAGCACAGGTGACGCAGTCTGACTCGCGAGCTGTTGTTTTCAACTGTTCCTCAGTGGAAAGAATCCTACAATTTGTTTCTATACGTGCTTCATTTCCAGATTTGCTGCTCTTTATCCCACTCCCCCAGGCTTCTCAGTCCCCATCGCCATGACAACGCTCGGTGGTGTTGGTGGGTGGTGTCATCGCGGCAGGCTTCCCCACAGAAGAGCTCAGCCAGATGGATTATTTATGAACTTGCATGACAGTACCAGACCCACAGAAATACTTTTTTTGACAAATTTTTACTTCCCTAAAGGACAACGCTTCAAAAAAAATAACAACCTTATTCAGTGCCTTCCAACTCAAAAACCAAAATCCAAAAAGGCCAAGGTACGGCACCACAGGGAGCGGGCCTTTCATTAGTTCCTAAAGCTACCTTTCTGCTGCCTGAAATCGTCTCTTACCCTTGAGAAGCACCTGTTGTTGTATCCCATAAATTGTGTATTACTGCTTCTGATTCCAGGCTATAACATTTGGGACTTTTTTTTTTATTATTATTATAATTTCTAGCTAGAATATATTTCAGACCCATTACAGTTAAACAAAGAATCAGGCACAACCTGTAAAATTGTTGGGATTCTGTTAGTGCAGATGGTCTCATTGGATTGGTGTACAAAACACAAAAAATATTTGTTAGTGTGGTATAAATACTCAGTGGATCACCAGTAAAGTCTCTTTTCCATATGTGAATTGCTCTGACTCTCAGAAATCCAGCTCGGGCGTACCTGCTGCCTAAGCAGCATGCAAGCAGTCGATACATTAACACGTTACATGTTGCCAGCACATTTCAGAGAAGATGAATAACTCCCAGTTTCTTCCAGCTAGACCATTGCTTTTGGACTTGATGAACCTTTGGGAGTATAGGACATAAGGAGAGAAGGATCATTAAGTGCAAGCCCCTGCTATTGCAGACAAGTGTAGCACATGATCCTAGTCATAAGCATATCTAGTCCATCGTAGAGCCAGTTGGATTTCTTTTGAAAGAGATGGACAGACACAATTCTACGAAAAAGAAATAGGTGGGCGTCTATCTTTTGAGTTCAGGTAAATGCACAACCCTTTCTGCGTAAAATATTTTACAATGCATTTCAGTGGAAGTACTTGCATGTCAGGGGGAGGGTGGTTCAGATGCTGTAACAACAGAGCATATCAGAAGCATATCCTTAATCAGCTCATTCCTTGTCTGGAGGCTGCTTTTGTACAGTAGCCTCTGTGTCTTAAACAACAAAGTTGGCTGGCACGGTAGAAAGGGAGATTAAGAAATAGAGTGAAGTCAGAAGATAAGAGAAGAAATAATTTTTTTTAAAATGTAGAAAGCACCTTAACAGAAGCCTTGTCATTCTTCATCTTCGGGGATAAATTTGGAGCGGTAGACTGGGTGAGAATACCTAGGTATGTAAGATATTGCTGAAGAGACTTGGCCAAGTTCACATCCTTTCCCAGCTCATAATTCCTTTCATTATCAGCAATCTGCTTTGAAAGCCTGCACATCAAAACCAAAAAAAAGAATGTTACCAACATAAAATGATACACACTGTACTCAGCAAAAATAAGGAATAATATTTTCCATCTGAATCTATAGTAGTTCGTGCTATGCAAATGCTCTTAAAAAAATCCCTAGAAAATTTAACACAATGCTAGAAGATGTAAGATATTTTTATAGCTCTGGGAGAAAAGTGAAAGCAAAAGTCCACTCGTAAATTAATAAAATAATGTGTTATACTATTCATCCAGGAACAAATTAATGAATAATCCTTCATCAGGGTAAAATTATGTTTAGTGGAAAAAAAAAGTATTTGTAAATATAAAAGAGGCAGCATTAGACTGCACCCTAAACAGATGGGACTTCAATGGGACTTTGAAGAAATTACTAAACTATCATCAAAATCCATTTCCTTTGGGCCTGGAGGACTTACATACTGCCCTACAGAATGCAAAGAAGCTGTTAGCTAAGGACACTGAGCAGTCAAACAGCTTATCATTGACCAAGGTGCAGACTCCAGGAAAGTGAAGAAAAGAGGTCACAGGCTTGAACATGAGTCCTCCAGTCTCATGACATTCTTATAAATGTAAGTGAGATTCATTCGTAAATGGGATATACAGATTAGCTTTATACAGATTTTGTATATACATTTTTAATAGATTATATTTAGCTCGAGTCAGAGTTTAGCCTGAGCCAGTACTCAGTGATCTGGTGTTTGTCTAAAGCTGCTCTCGTTCTGCAGATTCTTTTTTTGAGCAAAAAATGAAAGGAAGTTTCTAACTGTTGTGGCTGCAAAGAAAATGACAAAGAGTAGCTGCTGTGGGAGTGTCTGTGTGAGCCTGCAGAGAGCCTTCCACAATAGTTCTGAGGTGTTAACAGCTACACTCATCTATCTCTGCAAGATATTTGAGTCCTGGTGATGATAATTTAAGTGTCAACATAGTTAACTACTCCATTCCTCATTCCTTCATTCCTCACCTTTCCAAAGAAAGGAGAAGGAGGGTCACAGCTCTGCATATTTTACTATGAGTGACATCTAGTTTGGAAGCTACATCACATTGGGATGTCACCACTCCTCCACCCCCTCCTCCCCAACCAAGGACTCAAGATGAAGGAGCCCAAGGGGGCTCAAACAGAATGCAAGATTTTACCTTAAATATCAGCAGTCTGCTGTGGCTAGTGCTCTTCTCTGTATTCACAAGGGGACCGCTTAGAGAGCAGAGTTATACTGAAAGTTGTCTTCTAAAATCTGACCCTAATTTGATTTATTTACAAGTTTGTATCTGAATTAAGTGTTCCCTCTTTTAATCTCCATTATAACAGTGTAACTTTCGCGTTACTGTACAGCAGTTACAGGATATTATGCTGGAGGAAGTCATGTCACAATCATGTCCCCATGAGTGCCCTCACTATGCCTTCAACAAAGGGGTGTTTTTGGTAGCAGTCCTCCTTGGGCGTTACGAGATGCAGAGTGAATGCAGCAGCACAGACTCTGAGCCAACTGGCAAGGGATGAGATGCGAGGAGATGCAGTAGAGAATTGCCAGCCCAAGAGGAGTGTCAAGGGTTCCACATAGTGCACATGCTTTGTGCCTTCCTTATTTTGGACTGCACCTTAGTCCTCAGCATAATGTAGACAACCATGAAAGACTGCATAAATTCTGGCAAGGTGTCCCAGCTGTCTGCAAATCACTGCCAAGACTATCTGTAGTACTGTGAGCTGCAGCTGTGCCACACAGCACCCTCTATACCTGGGGAGTTCTTTGGAAGACAGTGTTATGGCTGCACACTCAGCTCCTGTCCAGAAGGAAGACTCCCCAGGCCTTACACAGGGCATGTAGAGTCACATGCTGCTCCTTTCAGCCAGCATACAGGATAGAGAAGTGAGGAGGACCAGTTGGTGTCCAGTAAGATGCAGACCTATAATTACTTCTGCATAGAGAATTATAGGATCCTGGCACTAATTTACTGAAGTTCTTGTTCGATTTCTATGCGATTTGCATCCACGTACATACATTCTGGTACATCAGTATTCTCTTCCACTGTTCCAGAATTTGATAGATTGCAAGTCCAGGTCAGACTATCTGAAGCAAACTAAAACTCCCCTTTTGCTTCCTGAACGATTTAGTTTGAAATCAAGCTCAGATGCTGTGCCAGCTTTGAAGTCTGTAGGTCAGTACTCATTCTGCTTCAGCAGAGACCAAAAAATCCAAAAAGCTCTCATCCCAGAAGGAACCACAAACTCAAGTGTTTCTTCCTCACACATCAGTTAATCTGCAATATCACGTTTCTCCTTTCTTCGTTTTTTTTTAAGAAGAAATGGAATCAAAATAGAGATGCAAGACCAAATTCTACCTTCAGACATCCCGGTGAAGTCACTGGGAATCCGTGTACATATATGAAGGCAGAATTTAAGTTTGTGATTTTCAGGCTCCTATTTATGGCAGCTATATTGTCACTTACTTAGTGAAACAAGGGAGTTATCACTTGGACTTTTCTACCTGATCAAGAGATGATAATCATCCCAAATTACATTAAAATTTAGTACTAAGTATATTTTGAGAACTTTTTTTTAATCTTTCCATGTAAAATGAACAATTAAAAATATATTGCATTGCAACGTTTTAAATGAAGAGTTCCTTTTTTAAGTATCTGACAAATACTTCTAGGAAATGTAAATACCTTTGCAGTTCATTTAATACCCTTACTGTTAACCTAGTTAACACAAAGTAAAATGCCTTCTAAATGAACTGTGATTAGCACAGTATTAAAATATCTTTTTTAAAGCTCACAAAGGCATTCAGGAGAAACAGAAAAAACATGAAGGGAAAAGTAGTTTGCAAGCAGAATTAGGGACCTGTTGTACATTTATTTTGCTATATAGTTAGTGTCCAATTTATTTTAAAACAAGGAAATTGAATGCAAATAACTACCGAACATAAAGCATAAAGTTAATGTTATATGTAGTAATGCAAATGTTTAGATAATTAATACATTGTTCTTACATAAAGATAACAATGTATGTTTCCTAGAAAAATTAGAACTTATTGGCTGCCGGTATTCAAAATCCAAACCACTGCACTGCAGAAACATAGCACTCTTCAATAGATGCTGTGCAACTAATAGGTGCTGTGATTTGTAAGCTAAAGAGATTCTCCTTTTTTAAAAACTGCAGCAATCTTAATGATGGTTTTATTAAATAAATAATATTACTCTCTACTTTCTAAATTGAAGTTTGTAGGAAACTTCTATGGTTCTGCTTAATTGCATCGATAAACATAACTGTCATTTCTTCCTTCTAAGCAAAATGATTTTTAACTTTACTTTAGATCCTTTTTCCAACAGTTTTTCCTCAGATTTAATAGGGACCCATGAAATACCATGTACACACCAGTCATCTCCAACAGAAGGCACTTTCATCTTGCAACCAATTTCCCTGTTTGCTTGTTATTTTTGTGCACATGAAATTCCATGTTCTCTGCTCCTCCAGACAACAGATGCATTAATTTAACTTAAGTCAATTTACCTTACAAGTGTCTGAGTCTATTTCCTTCCTAAAAGGGAAACTGTGGGGATTAATGACTCATTAAAGGACTTTACATTGTTTTATTACATGCCACCCATAATAAATCATTCTGTGATGCCATATTGCCACCTTTGATAATTTAATTCA